ACCAAGTGGCCTTCCAGCTGCTCTCCCCTACTTGAGGCAAATGGGATTGTGTCACTCCCGTGCTTTTAACTCTTTTCAAAACCACTGTTCTTAGAAGAAACTCCAAGATCTTCACCTGGTGAAGGTGTTTGCCACGAAACTGTCAGCTCAGGGTGGGCAGGACCCCCCCTCCTCCTTGGCCCTCCCCTTTCCCCCAGGCCCCACCCTCTCCCCTCAGCCCCTCGCTCTCCCCCTCAGCCCCGCCCTCTGGCACAGTGCTGGCTCAGGAGGACCTGCTGAGCTACAACAGCCTGTATTCTAACCCTGGTCTTCAGTTCTTAGCAAAGTGCTTCACTTATCCATACAAATCCAAGGTAGATTAGAAAGATTTTAGATATTGAGCTAGACTATTGATTTGGGGATTTTGCACTAGCAACCTGCAAGTAAATGTTCTAATGATTCTGTCTTCTTAAAACAACACCCAGATTTAAGTAGTATTTTGTGGAATATTTTAGGAGTAAAAGGGACTGTACTTTTACAGACTTTATGTTTTATTACATGAACAAACCGGAAAGGGTCACAAATGGAACCGCCTCATAAGTGACAGAAGACAGGTGAGAGGCACAAAGCAACAGGTCGCAAAGATGGTAAAAGCAAAGTTGTTTTGCCAACCCCCCCAAAAATTCCTGAAAGAACCAAAAATTCTGAATTTTGAAAGAAAAAGTCTATCATGTAGAGAAATAAAATAATCCTCTTCGTCAGGGTTTCAAATCTGACTCCAGATTTTTTAGCAGGCCATACTGAATCCTAACACAGAAATATCTGATGTACTAGTGGTGAGTAAGTTCCAGGAAAACTGCAGTAATTCCTCCACTTGTGTAAGGACATACACTCACTTGCCTAAGGTGAATGTAGACAGCATTCTGGAGAAATTCGGAAGCTTCCAGGCTCCACTTCTTGATGCCGAGGACACGGACAGCTTGGAAGCATGCTTCTAACTCGGTCACCGGCATTCTTACACTACAGGGGTAAACGGAGACTCTCAGTCAAGAGCAGAGATGTTCCTGTCGTGTCTCACAAGCCGTGCCTCAGGGACTCAGTGCCCTGCAGCAGCCCGGCCCCAGGCGAGGACCCGCAGCGTGGCCCACCCAAGCAGGAGGGGCACTGTGCTTGAGAAAGCCCATCCCCGATGGGGGCAAGAGGGGCTGGTGGGATTGAGTGAACCTATAAATGCTCACAGAAATATGCCTGCATTAATTCAAGTGATACAAGCAACAGTAGCAGGCTATTAAACAAAATTTCAATTGACAGTGGAAATTTTGCCATTCCTTTCCGCTTGTCCCCTGCACTCTGAGACAGGCTTAGGCTCTCTCACACCTGCAACTCTGAAGCAATAGTTGTGAAGTCATTTTACTTTGTTGCAAGTGCCCTCGCTCCCCGTTTCACTGTGTCTGTCCTCTCTTAACACAGTCGGATGTCTTCCTGGATCTCTATCTGAGTTCCTTTCTCCTCCTCCTCAGATCCTGAGATAAAGGACAAGTGAAGACACATGATCAGAAAAGGCACTGTGACTTGACTGAATTCCACAGTGACCCCCTAGGTGAGTGCTGCCCACACCTTACCTTCGATTCTCAAGGTTCTGCCCAGGGTGACATCCAGCCCATAGAGGTGGCCCAGGCCAATTAAAAGCTATGTGGCTTGGGCACGGGGACAGGTGCAGGAGCTGGTTCGGGAGCCGGGCCCCTCCCCACCTCTGTTCCCCTCTCTCCCGAGGCCCCGCTGCCAAGCACTCAGGCTCCTTGATCTTATGTCCTTCTCTTCTACTCTACTCCAAACCCTTTTCCTTTTCCTTTTTTCCCTAATTATCCCCAGCTGGAGTGATTTTTCAATCGCAGTATCTGAAAAAATTTCCTGCCGCCAAAAAAAGAGGTCTCCAGAGGTCAATGCCCATATGCTGGTTCCTGAAGAGAGCCGCTGGCTAGGGGTACCCTCACCAACACTCACGGGGCATCAGACAATTTTCAGGGTCGGCCACCCCCAACAAGAGTTTGCTGTGACCCCTATGCCCGCACAGCATCCCTGCTCATAAAAATATAGTTGGCCCACTTATTGGTTATTAAGAAGCAAAAATGCAAAATTGCTCATGTTTCTTACTAAAATTATCTATGAAGCAGAAAAGGGAATTGTAATAGAAAAGAACAATTTTGACCCCATGTTAGGTCTGTTCCTTTGGCTTTAACCATGTGCCCTGTTTTCTAGGCTCAGACTTGCTAGCTCTGCACCATTTGTTAAAGGAAGTTGCCTTTAGACTGAAATATCCAGGACAGCCTATTCTCCGGGCCCTGATCTTGAAGGATGCTAACTCATCTGCGCTTATGTAGAGATGGTAAGTTGCAAAATAAATAACCTTTGTTTGTTTTGGAGGTTTTACAGGGGCAACATGATTTGATCCACATGGACAGCTGCAAAAACAGCAGTTTCAAAGGACAAACAATTCTTACAGCAAGAAGTTTCCAACAACCAACCACACCCCAGCCACTTTTTAGTATAAAAGGAGACTGAATTCTGACTTGGGGAAGATGGTTCTCCTGGACATCAGTGTACCATCTTCTGGGTCTGCCAGCTTTGCAAATAAAGTCGCTATTCCTTGCTCCAACACCTCATCTCCCAGTTTATTGGCCTGCCATGTGGCGAGCAGAACGAGTTTGGACTCGGTAACAAAATGACTGCATTGGAGGTAGTATGTGTCCACTGTTTCCTCATTTCCAATATGTAACATGCACATTATTTATGATCTAGTGCAAATAATTCATCAAAGACAACCACAAAAAAAAAATATATACTCACCCAGCTATCAATACTGAAGTCAAAACCTGCCAATTTTATATGCTGTTTAAGAACACAACCAAAAAACCTAATATAGGGTGTTGATTCCACGGAAACAAAATTATATCTACTTCTTCAAAACTTTTTCTTTTCTTTTCTGTTTTTTTTTTTTGCTTATTGAAAAGAAAATAAAGGTCAAATCATTTTAGTTCACGTATTTTTGTTATATCTACATACTTTAAATACTACAAAGAGATTTAAATTGCAGTAAAAAATTGTTCATATATTAGTATAAATATATATACACAATCAATGGGGATTAGGAAAGGAATGGAGATTTACTAAAAATCCACTGCAATCCAGTCTTTCACAAGTATATCCTGGAATATAAGCTCTGTGATCCAGGGGGCCTCACCCACATTCTCACTGCCGAGTCCCTTAGTAACCAACTACTAAGGCACCAGCATAGAACCATGTGATCAGTATGTTAGGAATAAATGAGGGAATTAGCTCATTCAATTCTAAAACAAAAACCCTAAAATAAATACTGAACTTATTTACAGATAAAGAAAATTGGACCCCAAAAAAGTAAAGTTTCTTCCTCAAGGTCACAAAGCTAATAACTGGTAAAGGCAAGATTTGAACTCATCTGCCTGATTCTAAAAACTATGGTGGAAATCCCATTCGACTGGGGAGGGTACAGCTGCACAGCCTATCACCGTATCTTTGTTCATATCTAGCCTCAGACAGCCTGAGACAGCACCCCATTCCTATGGAACTCGAGGGCAAACAGAAACAATAAGGATTTTATATCCAGCAGTTTCTTAGGTCTCATTTATATAAACTGTCAGCAGGTGAGCAGAAAATCTCTGGGAACCATGAGTGGGTCCAGAGTTTTTTGCTGATAAGAAACTCAATCTATCAGGACAGAGTGACCTTCCCATCAGAGGCCACATGGACATAAACTAAAGGCAGCTGAGCAATGAAAACTAGCAAGACTCTGGAACTTAAGCAAGAAGGATCCCTGCCATCCCCCACCCAGTTGCCTCTTCATCCGCGTGGACACGATGGCAAGGATCCGGGTTCTTGTCCAAGTTACACTATCATGGATTCTCACCCATAAAAAGTTATGACTCTATGCTGTCTTAAGTCCTTTCCAACTCAAATATGATGACACCAATATCTCAGCAGAATATCTATGTCTCCACTTCCTCTCTTCTAATAGGAGAATATTTCTATGGACACAAAGCAGAAATTCAATTTCAAATAACATGCACAAAGCCAGGCGAATTTCTGCTTAAGAGACTTTGCTCTCACATTCAGTGAATGAAAATTCAGAAAAAGCAGTCCTTCTCCCTCAGCAAATGGGAGGTAGCCTGATTTTGTGTGTGTGTGTGTGTGTGTGTGTGTGTGTAAATCAAATACAATCAAGTCTGGGATGCGTACAGATTTTTTTTAATGTCACTGTCATTTCATGGGGATGAGCCAACATTTAAAGTTATTTGAATCTAGTGTTCTGAGACAGTCTCAGGCTCTTTTGCTGGAGGAGGGGAAAGGGGAGAGTAAAGGAGGAAAGAGGTAAATGAAACAAAGGAGTAACAATACTGCTAGGGAAAGGCAAGAAGTTAATTTTGTTCCTCATTGCATCACATACAAATTAGGGACTGTCTTTCCCCCGATGTCTTATCGAGCACTGAGTTGCAGAAGAAGAGGCAACAGCCCATTTCTCACTGACCTTGTGACTGTACGTGGCATTTTATAGACACAAATCATTTACCCTGAT